CATGTACCTTATGAAAATCTATTCAAATTGCTGCTTTTCTACACAGCAAAATATGATCGTATGATTTGCTGACATCAGGAAAATTTATATTTCTTGATATGCATGCTCACTTCGAAATCGAACAGAGGCTTAAAAATGAAAATTTTTGTCAAGCAGATGAGCCTTTTGTAGCCGCTGGTGTCCCGTTCTATAAGTCTGATCTGTTTTTTACGGATTACATCTTGTGTTAATTACTTGTTTGCTATCATATACATCAACGGAAGCTGCAGCCAAAAGGATCTCGGATTAGACATGGTCGTGAATCTGACATAATCTCTTCATTATACCGTGTTGTTTCTGTTGGTCGCAGGTCAGCGAATTTCTGCTTCTTCACTGACTAATGCCACTGAAGCTCAGCGGGGTGATTTCCTTTCTTAAGGGAATTTGCAGTTTTAATAAGGCAGTTTATGCCACGCATGTGACATTAGTTTCGGACTTAATGTATAAATTGACTTTACAATCTACTAGACCAGTGGCTCACTGTTCCCCACCCAGTGTTTGTTTTTGTTAATTTTGTTTAATGGTATGCGAATAAAGTAGTTGACGATCGAAATTTCAGACGCATGTATTGGGCGAAAGAACTTTCAGAAACTTTGGTTGTGCTGTTCGATCTCGCGTGGGAGTGTGCCGTTCGCGTTCCTGTTCTGCTCACGATGCTCGTGGCTGTATTCGACGTACGCTTCGAATTTGACTTTCAAGATGCTTGATTTGAGGAATGGCAATCGTTTTGAGACCCGACCGTAGTTCAAGTTTTGGGACCCGATCGACATGTCAAAGTTAGGGCAAGATACCGTTTACTTATCGAATCCTTTCGACGACCCCCCTACAGTGAAAAACGCCTCAAATCATAACGTTTTTGGTAAGGAAAATTTCATTCTATTATATCAAATTTATGCTTTTTGCTTGTTATTTTAATTTTATTTCTTTGTACATGAAAATAATAATTTGCGGAGGGTAGAGGACGTGTGAATAAGCGAAATAATACGTACTTCTTGAATCAGTGTACTTATTGGTTCGTAAGTTTTAATCGATGTATCAGTATCCTTTTATCATTAGTGTCTGGCCAACTTTAACTTTGAGATTTGAAGCGACTTGCAAAGGTCGTCGATTATGAAAAGCGTCTTTTAGTCAACCGTATCCAGACGTAAGCTATATCAGTGGAATAAAAAATTTTAACGCTCAGCTGATTAACATTTCGGTAGAAATGTAAGTCAGTTAAGTTCAAACCTAAATCGGGAATTTCGATTCATTCAATTTCTCGACCGTAATTAAGAAGTTTTATAAGGTTTACTGTAGATTATGATGGAAGAATCTAATGGTACGCTAGTGAACCCCTAAAATCGAGTATAATTTTGTGTATGAATATGCCTACCGATCGTGGCATAATTGCAAGTGTCCGAAAGAGCCTTTCTTTCAGCTCTGTCTAGTGATGTGGTTCTGCATCCATGCGCTGCATGTACTCAAATACCACGTAGCTCTGCCCTGCTTAAATGGATCCCTAGGCGACTATAAACAAAAAGACGGTTTCTTTACGGCGCTTCAATGCGTTATTAAAAGTGGAAATGTAAATGTGATCCAGAATTATTGTATAGTTTTTTCTTCGCATCGCATTACAGGGTGACATGTTTAGTATTAATTTATTTCACTTCCCTGTGTGCCGAAATAAAATACATCTGAAAGGGATCAGAGATCCAGTATCGGCCAAGTAGATCGTATTTCATACTTCCGAGGCACATAATGGAGTTACACTACGAGGGAGAGGAAATATCAGACCACACGCAGTAATAGTATGGTTACGTAACTCTAGACTGACTGACTGACTGACAGATTACGCCCAGAGATCAGCGTGTCACCTTCAACCCTATTGCAATGAAGTTTCACAAGTAGCATTCACGCATGTAGCAGTGTAAATTACCGACAGTCTATTAATTCAAAATTTTCTGCTTTCCTTTCTAGCGGCTTAATGCTTGCCCGAAATTCCGTAATGAATGAGACTACACTGAGATGACCGGACAAATGAGTAGTACATAGATTCCTTATATTTGCTATGCAAGGTATGTACTACCATTTTTATTGTAGTATCGTGTAATGCATCGAATGCGTAATCCCGCTGCATTCTACCCGGTCGTTGTCGGCTAATTGTAACAGTAACTGATTTGTCGCCGGCATTATGATTAAATTTATTAAATGCTTAGATATAACTTTAGCTTTATTTTTTATATATGTTTATAGTACTTTAGTATTGATTTAGTATGATGGGTCACCTGTGGGTATCGAATATCAGCTTTGTTTTAACACAGGTTTGTCCTTTTCGAGAAAACTGTCGATTAAACCTACCCCTATTAGCGCGGAACGCCATCGTATATGGCGCCCGAAGTTCCACACCGAGAATACAACCCAGCGCTTGCAGACACAAGCAGCTATGGCATTGTTCTAGTAATGATGCTGACCAGGGTACTTCCGCCATCGAGTTTCCGTTTTCTGCATTGGAAAGAGTACATGCCATGGCGCTCACTGCCATTTGAAAGGATCAGCGCTGTTCGATATTTGACCTATGATTTATGCAGGTCTTCGAT